AATTATTAATATTATTATTATTATTATTAATATTATTATTATTATTATTATTTTTATTTTTATTTAAAATATCTTAATTATTTTTAATTTCATTTTATTTTTATTTTTTAACATATAATTTTTTTTATATATATATTTTATTATAATATCTTTATTTTTTATCAATTAATTAATTTTATAAAAAAAAAATCGTAATATATTCATTTTTTAAATAATATTTTATTTATATATATATATTAATTATATATTTTTATATTTATTTTTAATATTAATTTTATAATAAAATAACTGATTATTTTTGTGGCTTTTAAATATTTTTTTTAATAAAAAAATTTTATAAAACATTTTTTTAATTAAATTTATAATATAATTTTTTTTTTATATTATCAATTTTAATATTTTTTTTTTTGTTACATATAATTTGAAGAAAATGTATTATAATTAACATTAATTCCAAAAAATCATATAAAGACTTAAATAAACAATATAAAACTAACAAAACTCATTATTTATAACATTTTTCCAAAACAAACTCCATTTTTTAAACTAGTATCTTCCATACACTTCGTACAATTATCATATTCTTTACAAACAAGACATTTACTATCATTACATTTTACACATTATTTGTTATTTAATCCATAACCATCATGACATTACAAACACTCATCTCTAGAATCGCAATACTAGCAATTTTATGTATTACATTTCGAACAACCTTTCTCTTCTGAGTAAAAAGTACCTCTATCACATTAACAAAACTCCCCTTAAGCCCCTTAAATGCATTTGCATACTCCATTTATGCAATATCCGTTAGAATAACAGAAGTTTTTACACCATCTTTTATTTTAGCAAAACTATAGAATGTTTTAAGGGCATTGCAATACTCCTTTAAAGCCTTTAGGTGCATTAACAATTTAATTATTTTATGAACACTAGAGTGTTTAATTCCCGAATTATATATTTATTTAGGAATTATTATTATTACAACTATATTAATAGCATAAAACTTAACTAATTATAGACTAGGCAGTAAAAGGAACTATACTACTTTAAAAAGCCTTGCTTTAAGGACCTAAAACACAATTTGCTTATTAAACAAAAGACTCGTAATATTTAGTATTTTAACTATTCATACATTCTGTATTTGAATAAAGTAATATATATTTGCAATTATTCATTAAGTTATCACGGTTTGTACACTAACCTAGTCCACTATATGTAAAATCAATACCTTCTTATTCTTCTTAAGTACAAAATTCAGGAAAATTATTTACACTTCGGCAATATTCTTATATAAAACTGCATCCTTTGTTCTTACCCCACTCAGTATTATCGAATAAGGAGGTATTATTAATCTCATACCAACCAGAATCTTATAAAAGTGCATTATTTAGACCACTCCATACTGTATCACCTATATTTTTTTTGTTTATTTTTGTTGTTGTTGTTGTTGTTAAATACCTATTTAGGCTACACCAGTCATTATATCGTTTTAAATTGCAGTTTTTTCCCAATGGGAGCCCACAGTGCCTTTACTTCCACTATTTTCTAAAGGCATGCCTATTAAAGTGTTACAGGAATAGTGATTTTTAATCCAAGCTAGTATATGGGGAAATCCAATGAATAAATCGCCCTTAGAAGGATCTATGTTATAATCTTAGGGAGATCCAACGAACAATTTGATAAGACTTTAGGAAAAAACTAATGAATGAAACATTTCATGAATTGTTACTTTTAATACTTACTGGAAATTATAATGAGTGTTCTCTAGTTATTATAAAGTAGAAATATTGAAGTTAATAATGGCTATTATGGGTCTATTATCGGCTTTTTGCAATGAACATGCAGATGATTAGGCTAACCAGGTCTCGGATGTTTTTTATTAAAGTTATACGAAAAAATGAAGGTCAGTATCTGATACTTTAGAGTCAATTTAGGATTATAGGAATTAATAATCGGAACATTCTTGCCCTGAAGATAGTTTTAATGCAATTTAGGAAGGGATTTTAACTTTTATTAGATCTTTATAGAATTATATGGCCACTTCAATTGATTTTGTTATAAGGTTTTTTAAATTATCGTTTGAAGAAGCTTTTATTTAGGAATTATCATATGTTATACGGATTGGAGATGATTGTTATAATGTCCGGGATTGAGTTTTGTAAGATGTGTCGATTATTTCTAGGGTTTTAGAGGGATTATGGGAACAATTATGGGTTAACTTTTAGGTTTATGATATTTTAGATAATATTAATATTATTAAAATTAATAGATTGGCTTTTTTTTATAAAAAAATTGTTTTTATTATCATTATTTTTTATTTTAAGTATTATTTACTAGTTTTTTGTAATTTATTTTAAATATATATAATAATTATATATATAAATATATATATATATTATTTTTTTGCAATAATATAGAATTTTTAGTGCCTTTTTTTACCTTTAAAATTGAGATTTTTTTTATTTAAAAAATAATCTAATTCATTTCTTAAAAAAAATCTATTATAAAAAACAAAAAAACAAAAAAAACAAATATTTTTATAAATTAAATTAATTTAACTTTTACTAAATACTCTGTTTAAATTTAAATGCAATTCAACTGAAAATACACTCGAAACAAAAGAAATAAAATCCTCGCTTTAAAAAATATCATATATACTATTCAATATATCTGAATTAAATATACATATGGTCCGATATATTAATCAAAAAAAATGTGTCAATAAAGAATTATCTAAGCTTGAAAAATATATAAGAAATTATATTTTTAAGAGAGAAATTTCAAAAGAAGGAGAAACATATGAATTCGATTTTAAGAACAAAATAACTTTATATTTAAAAAAATTATATATAGAATAGTTAATAATATAACTTATTTTAATTTAATCTAAATAAAAATTTCATTTATTAAAATATATAAAAGTTATTAAATATTTTATTATTTTAAGAATATATTTTTTAGACTTATTTGTTTTTGGTTTTTTTTTTATCCTCTCTAAAAAAGTATAAAAAGATAACATGTTTTTCACTAAAAAATTTTATAATAAGGGTTATATATATTAAAATAATTTAATTTAGAAATTTTCAAATATTTTATTATTATAAAGGTGGTAAATTATATTTATTATTAATAATAAAATGTTTAGTTTATTAATAATAAAAGTTTAGTTTATTAAAAACAAAATATTAGTTTATTAGTAATAGAATGTATAGTTTTATTTAAAAAGCCGAAAATACTTAATATTGATATAGATTTTCCCTTCGAAAAAAAATAAAAATAGAAATCTATTTTTTTTTAAAGATTTTTTTTTTTTTATATAAGTTGAAAAGCCATTTTTAATAATGAGAAAATAGTTTATATATATATAAATAATATCCTAAAAAATATATATATAATCAATATATATATATATATATTATTTAATTTAAATTTTCAATAAAAGTATTTTTTTTTTATATGTAAAAAATTTGAGTATAAATAAAACAATATCGAAAAATTAAAAATTTTTGTATATTTATTTAAAAGTAAAATAAAAATTAAAGATAAAGAAATAAAATTATATATTTTAATATAAAATAAAATTTTTTACAAATATTTTTATTTATATAAAAAAAAAAAATAATCAAAACAGATTTTTTCTAAATTTTAAAAATAAAAGTTCTATTTATGATATAAAAAAAAAAAAAATATATAAATATTAATATAACTATATATATATATATACATATATATAAAAATATTTATATATATATATATATATAAATATATATATATATATATATATATTCTTATACATATGTTAATATATAAAAACATTCCAGAATAAAAATATATACAATTATAATATAAAATACATATAAAAATTTATCTCTTTTACTTAATTAATAATAATAACTATATATGTATATAATATATATTATATATTTAAATAAAGTATAAATGTAAATTTGTTTATTAAAATGCTTTTTTTAAACATGTTTAAGAGATTGTATAATATAAAAATTTGCCTATAAACCTCCGTCTATTAAGGGCTATATATTTACTGAAAATCCGTAAATTGAAAAAAAGAATGGATTTAATTACTTTTCTTTTGATAAAAAAAGATATAAATTAACTCTTATATATAAATAAAATTAGAAAATAAAACAAGAAGATTATATATAAGTCGATGGTTTAGATTTATTTTGTATTAAAAAATAGACTAGGAAAAAAAATATTATATGTGCATATTTTATATTATTTAAAAAAACTAAATCTGATAATATTATAATTTTTTCACATGGAAATTCAACAGATATTGGGCATATGATTAGTTAATCTTTAGATTTAGCCTCTAATTCTAGGACAAATATACTCGTTTATGATTATTCCGGTTATGGATAGTCTACAGGAAGCCCAAATGAGGCTAATATAATCGAAGATTTAAAGACTATGTATAAAACAGCACGTGAAATAGGCTTTAAACCGTAGAATATATTCCTATATGGGCAAAGTTTAGGCACAGGACCTTCAATATATATCGCAGCAAACCCAAAGTATCAAATATAAGGTCTTATTGTACACGGAGGGTTCATGTCTGGTATGAGAATTACATAAATGAATATAAAAAAAACTAGTAAAAGGGATTTTTTTCCAAATATAGAATATATAAAATAAGTTAATGTACCGATATTATTAATACATGGAGAAAGTGATATATAAATAAGTATTTAACATGCAAAAAGAATGCTAGAAAATATAAAATTTAAATATTAGCCACTTTTCATAAAAAATGCGGGACATAATAACATATAATTTTCAGATTAATTTAGAAATATTTATTATAAAGGAATTAGAGATTTTATTAAATTTTCGACTGGATTGTCAAATTTTGATGGAAAAGGAGATGGTCTAAATCATTTTGATGGAAAAGGAGATGGTTTAAATAATTTTGAACACTTTTATTAATAAATATGCCCAGAAAGTCTAGAATAATAAGACTTGGCTTTAAATAAAGTTTCTTTGTTTGAAGATGACTTTTTAGGAAATATTTAGTCCTTTTAGAACATATATTAAGTTAATGTTTAGTCATCTGGTATATAAAATATATAAACATATCCAATTTAGTAGTCTTTTATTGATAATTCGATTATATCTAACAAAGTTATAGATCCAAAAAGCCTAAAATAAAGCATTTAATAAGAAGAAGATAATAATAGTATAGGGAAGAAAAAAAAAAATAGTGAATAAAAATATATTTAATCTTAAATTTTTACAGATGATAATTGATAATATAGATATTATTATATATATATAAATAAATATATATGTATATATTGATTTATTATAAATATATGTATATATTGATTTATTATATATATATATATATATATATATATATATATATACATATATATTATTATTATTTATATATTAATTTTTAATTTTTTTAAGTTTTTATTTAGTAAAAGTATTTTTTTTTGTTTAAAAAAAAAAAAAAAATTTGAATATATTTTAATATTTTATTTTTTTTGAAAAAAAAAAAAAATTTGATTTGACGAAAAATCAAACTAAAAAAAAAATTAATTTTAAAATAATCAAAATATAAGAAGAAAAAAATATATTAAATATATATATAAAAACAATATTGTATATTTATTTAATTTTATATTAATATATAAAGACTATTATTTTAAATAATTTAACTTTTCTTAAGTATCATTTTACATATAAAAAAGTGTTTAAACAAACAAAAAATACAATATATGTAATGTAATATGTCAATTTTAGGATGGAATAAAATAAATATTAAAAAAATTAAATTTATTATTTTAAGATAATAATATATCTTTATATTTAAAATAATTTTTTTTATTTTTATTAAATAAAAAAAAGATTTCTTTTTTTTAATAAATCTTTATAAATTTTTAAAGAAAAAAATTGTTTTTAATATATGTCAACAAAAACAAACAAAACATTCCCCTATCAAAAAATCTGAAATATATAAAAAAATCGAGCCTTGAAAATAATAAATAATAACTATTAAATTTTTCTTTGTAAACTCATATAATGAGTTTTTTTAAAAAAATTAATCAAAATATAAAAAATATAATTTAAAAATATTACATAATAAATTCAAATACTTGCAAACAAATATAAACTTATAAATAATTAATAATTAAAATATATTATATTAATAATGATTTATATTTAATTATTTATGTTCCTTTCTCTTTTTTTATAAAAAATAAAAGCAAATAAAAGCTTGTGGTTAGTCTTGCTAGATATAGTAAATTTTATTATAGGTATATATAGTAAATAATATATATTAATAAAAGTGAAAATGATAGATAAAAAATATATTTTATTAGGAATAAAAATGTTTTACGAAAATATATAGCTATATAAACATTTATATAAAAAAATAGAAATAATTACATTTTATTTTATGATTAAAAAAAAAATTATAGATTGAACAAAAATTATATTAATATTATAAATAAAAAAAAAAAATTAAAATAAAAATAAATATTAAAGTATAAAAATAAAATAAATAATATATATATATATTATATATAATTATTTATTAATATATTATTTTCATTTTTTTTAAATATATAATTTTATTTATTTTTTTCAAATATAATATTTTTTAATGTAATAAACAATTTTACATAATCATAATCTTTTTTTTCAATTATATTTAATAAATGTTTTTTGATATAAAAAATTAGTGATTTTTTTTTTATAATTAATAAATGTAAAATTTGAAATTTTTAATTTTGTTAAAAATGAAATTTTTTAATATTTATTTTATATTTTTTATTATTATGTTTGTATATATTATTATTATTTTTTAATAGTGTAAATTAAAATCTATCATTTTCTAAATATAAAATATTAAATAGTATATAATAATTTTAATTAAATCAAATTAATTTTTTTTTATTAACAATTATTTCATAATATTATATATAAAGAAAACAATGTTTTTTTTTAAATAATTTAAATTAATGAAATTAAAGAATTTATTTTTTATAAAAAATTCTTGAAATTTTAATGTATATAATTAAATTAAGTATCATATTTAATGATAGATAGTATTTTTAAAAACTACTAAGGTTTAATAGAAATAAAACTAATAATAATTATTGTATTTTTATTGAATAATAAAAATTGTTTGATAATAATTCAATTTATTATTTTTTTTTATCTAAATAATAAAATAATAAATTAAATATATATTAATTATTTATTTTTTAAAAAATAAAATAAAATGAAAATAAATATAAAAACAAAATATAAATAAGTTTAAATTAATAACATATAAATTAATTAATTTAATATATTAATATACAAATTATTATTATTTTAAATAAAAAAACAAAAGAAAACAAATATATATAATAATAAATTAAATATTATTAAAAAAATATATATAATAATATTATTTATAGTTAAAAAATGTAAAATTTCGAAAAATTGAATTTATATAAAATAAATACAAAAATACACATACATAGAAAATTTTTTAATTTTATAAATAATAAATAATTTAATATATATTTATAAAAGAAAATAATAATAATATTTTTATTTTTTTATTTATATGTAATCTTTTTTTTAAAATAATAAATTTAAATGCAAAAAAAATAAATTTTAAAGCATTTTTTTTAAAAAAAAATAAATAAATAAATATTCACTAATCTTCATCTTCTTATTATAAGTTAATTTGATTAGATTAACTTTTTAGACCAAATTTAGAAATACCACCAACTTTTAAATCATTTTTTAATTCTTAAGAACATTAATTATCGATTGAATTTGCTTTATTTATATAACCTACGCTTTTTGAATCAATACTTCTATCATTCGAATTTCTAGCATTTGTATTAGCTTTCCATCTTTAAACCCAAGCTTTCTTTTATAAATATATATATATATATATATATATATATATATATATATATATATATATATATATATATTTATATATATATATTTAGAAATATTTTTTTTAATACAATTCTTATAACTGTAGATATTTATAAAGCATTATCCAGATCTTCATCATTTACTTCTACTATTTTATTTTCTATTCTTTTTTTTTTTATATATTTAATAATTATAATATTTTACAATTGTGTTGAAAGATCATCTTATTGATTTTAATTTATCCATTCTGATTTTGAAATTTCAATTAATGTTGATCTTTTTTCTGGGCTTTTTTCTATCATTAATAATAAAAAATTTTTAAGTCCATCTGAGCATTATCTATGTGTTGGAAATTCTAATCTATAAAAAATAATATACTATATATTAAAATAAAAATTAAAAAAAAATATATATATTTATATACTATTAATCTATAATAGTTTAAAATATTTCTAATAAATTGTTTCCATAAAATGGTAACTAAAGGAAAGCAAAAGAAAAAAAAGTAACTCCCAAAGCCCATATATCAGCTTTTTTACCACTATATCCTTTTTTAGCACTTTCTTTATTTAAAGCTTCAGGAGGCATAAAAAAATAAGTGCCCTCATTTCCTTATAAGTTATCTCCTTTATCAGATATAGCAGAAACACCAAAATCAGCCATTTTCGGGTTTCCGTATTTATCAAGTAAAATATTTTATGGTTTTATATCTCTATGTACAATACCACTTGAATGTACTTAAAAAACATAAATATATATATTTTTTAAATATATTATTTTTATTTTTTTAATTTACAATAAAATAATCCTTTAATACATCCTCTAAATATATTTCTTAAATAATCTTCTGATAATGGTTCATTTTATTTTTAGTTGCAAAAAAAAAATTTTTTATCATCGTCATCCCATTCTATTATTTAACCACCTTAAGCAAATTCAAGTACTAAATAATATATATTAAAATATAAATAAAATATATAATATAATAAATATATATATATAATTATTTTATAATTAAATAATATATAATTATATTTATTTAAATATATATATTATTATATATATTTCTGTATATTTTTATATAATTATTTTTAAATATATATTTATGTAATTATTTTTAAATATATATTTATATAATTTAATTTTTTGTATTTTTTATTTTTTATTTTTAATATATTAATACCCATATATAATTTATCATTATCTGGATTTTCAATAACTTCATATAGTTTAATAACATTTAAATGTCTTAATTTTTTCATTATTGCGATTTCTCTTTTTACATTATCTAACGCATCTTTGAATTTCATTACTGTTTATTTTATTTAATATTTATTAATTTTAATTCTTAACCTCCGGTACTATCTCGATAATATTCACGTTTTTTTTTTAGAAAACTTTTTTTAAATATTTTTATAGCAAATTTTTATTCTTCATTTTCGTTTATTTTTTTTACTGCTAAAGCAACTTTACCATATGCACCTTATCCTAAATTACCAATTAATATATAATTATTAATCATTTTATTTCCCTTTAAATATAAAGGATAATTATTTTAATGTTATTGTTAAAAATTTATATTTAAATATATATATTAATATAATGTTAATATATTTATATATATTTATATTTATATTTATATTTATGTTATATTTATATATAGTATTAATACTTCATTATTTTTTGTTTTAGTCAATTTCACAGTTTATTTTACCCTTTTAGCCTATTTTTTATTTTTTTTATTATCATTTAATTTTTTTTACTTGTTTGGGCACATAATGGTATTATAATATTTATTGTTTTTCTGCATCCTATGTGTTTTGTTGAAAAGTTAATTTTGGTATTCTTGATTATTAGGCTGCTAATAATTCTTAGCCTTTATATGGAACTACTTGATTTATGTTTTTTCCTTTTTATTTTAAAGGGTCCTATATTTTACTAGAACTTGTGCAACAACCCATTTTTTATTTTCTAATTATTAAATTTTAAATTAATTATATTTTTTTTAGTTTTTTATTATTAAAATTTTTGTATTATTTTATATAGTTATTTTTATAAAATATTGACTTATATAATTTTATTTTTTTATTTTTTAATTTTTTTTTATAATTTAACATATTAGATAATAAAAAAAACTTATATAATATTTTAAAGTATTATAAAATTATAAAATTATATATTAAAATATTTATGTTTTTATTTAGTTAATTTTAATATAAAAATTATATAAAAGTTAAAAAATAAAATAATAAAACCTTAAAATTTTTTCTTAAAAATTAAAATTATTGAGTAAATTTGTATTACATAAATATATTTTTGAATATACATTTTTTAAATATTTTTTTAAAATAATACAATGTCTAAATTAAATTAAAAAAGTAATAAGTTAATATATTTCTAAATGTTTTTGGAAAATAATAATATAAAAAAACTTAAAATTAAAAGTAAAAAAAAAATACTAAAGTTAAAATAAAAATTATATATTTAAAATTTTATATATAAAAAACTGTTATAAATTATAAATATTAAATATTTATATAAATAAATTAATATTTTAATATATTATATATATTTTATTTTTTTATATTTATATATTCATAAATTTATATTTTTTATATTTAATTAAAGATAAATTAATATAATTAATAATATAAATATGTATTTTTAATTTTTATGATAAAATTAAAAAATTATATAATAATAAATTATTTTTTAATTAATTCAAATCTAAATAAATTATTTTCATATTATAATTTCATTTTAAATATCATTCATTAAATTATTTTTTTCGTTTATAATTTCTTTTTTTATATATATGGATATTAATAAAAATAGAATTTTAAATTATTATATAAATAATAAATCACCTTCATAATTATTATTGTAAATTATATTATCTACATCTTTATTCTAAATATCCTATTTACTTCTTATATTTTTTTATTATTCTTGTTTATATACATTATTTCTATTACATGTATTCTCATCTCTTGTTATACTTTCAAATTCATTATATGTTTTAGAAGAATTTCCTAAAAGCAAAGTTTTACATGAATCTTTTTCAATATTTTTTAAATTTTATATTTATTTTTAACTTTTCTGTTACGAAAAAGTATATTATTCTTAATTATCATCTTTTCTTAATAATAAAATTTTAAATATAAATTCATATTTTTATAAATACTTTATTTAATCATTATATTCATTAACATCTACTTTAATATATATATTTTCTTTAAAAAATTAATGCTATAGGCAATTTTCAGCAGTTAATCTTTCATTCGGGTTTTTTTTTAGCATACATTTAAGTAAATCTTATGCTAATATAAAAAATATATTAAAAAGAAATATATTTATAATAAAATACTATCTAAAGGTAAATTCAAAATTTCATTAATATTAAAATTAATATAGGCATCTCTATTAGAAATAAGTATTTCATCCATAGTTTTACCTTGAAAAGGAGAATTTCCAATTAATCTAATATATATATAAATATAAATATATATATATATTTATATATATATATATTCAAATTTTTTTATTTTTTATTTATACAATATATAAAATATTAATCCTAATTAGTAAATATCACATTAAGGTCCATATGTTGTTTTAAGATTTTTAATATTGACAACTTCAGGAGCTACAAAACCTGGTGTTCCACATCTTACAAATAAAAATTCATTTAAATCATATTTTGTTGCAAGACCAAAATCTGCAATAATTGGTAATTAAGAAACATTATCCTTTAATAATATATTTTCTGGTTTTAAATCTCTGTGCATAATTTTCTTATAGTGCATATTTTTTATAGCATAAAGAAGTTTTACCATAATATTTTTTATTTCAAAAACCGAAAATTTATATTTGGCATCAATTTTTTCCTAAAGTTAACCTCCTTCTAAGTAATCTAAAACAAAATATAAAGAACGTTCTGTTTCAAAAACACAATGCAATTAAACAGAATATGCATTATTTAATTCTCTCATTACTTATATTTCATTTTAAATAGATTCCTAATAATTAAATATGTATAAAAAATAATATATATATATATATTAATATAAATATATATATATATATATATATATATATATATATATTTATATATAATCAAATTATTTTATTTTATATATATAATATAATTTATTTTTAATATACAAAAAAAAAATTATATTTATATTATTTTTACTTTTCCATATTATTATGAAAATATTATTTATTTAGAAAACGCTTTTATCGCATATAATTTATTATTTTATATTCTTTCTGCTAAATAAACCTTTTATAATAATATATTTATATAAATATATATAAATTTTTATAAATTTTTATATTTTATTACAGATGCAAAAGATCCTTTACCAATTTTTTTATAGCATTTAAATTATTAATGAAATCCTCTTTAATTTAATATTTTCTCTAAATAATATTACCATTTTTTTAATATATGAATGTCTTCGTTATATATTTCGTAATAACTTTCTTAATAATCAAATTTTATACAATTTATATTGTTTAGTACTAATTCAAAACATAAATCCTATATTAAATCGATTTATTTATAAGGTATATTAGTATTTGAAGGCTATTTAATTTTATTTTTTTATAATTTTTATTAAAATAATTAACATGTATATATTTTATGTATTTAATTAACTTTATATATATAAATATTATCATTATATAACTCTAAATAGTATATTTTTGTATCATTTTTTCCTTTAATATTAAAAAAATCGCATATTAATAAATTATTTTTATTTATCTATAGATTTTTTTTATATTTTTAAGTTATTAAATTCATTTTTTTTTATTATTATTATTTAAATTAATTTATAAAAATAAAATAGATACTTTATATTAAAATATATTTATAATCAAAAAATTAGTTAAAATCTATTTTAATATTGTATTAAATGATAATATTTTAATTTTATTGGTTAGAAAATATAAGATAGAAAAAAAAAACACACTATTACTTTTTGATATAATTATTTTTTTTTTATTAAAATTAGACTAAAACTAAAAAAATATTATTTAAAATAGAATAATATAAAAATGTTAATAAAAAAAAATATATATTTAAATATAAATATATATATATATATATAAATATATTATATAATATATTTATTTATCTTAATAAAATATAATATTCTTTTTATTTATTTTTTTCATTATTAAAAATAAACTTAATATTTCAATTTACATATATTTAATTTTTAAATTCTTCTTTATTTATGAATAGCCTTATGTTAAATATCTATATTATAAATAATTACTTATTAAAGATTTTATTCAAATTCAAAAGTCTTAATAAGATAATATATTATAATTCTAGCTAATGATAATTTTCTATTGCTTTCATGTTTATTATATTATTTACAGGTTAATAAAATCCTTACAGTATCTTTCATAACTCTAATAATCATTATTTTTTGTGTAATTATACATATTTCCTATATTAACCTTACTTTCTTAAATAATAAATCATAATTCCTGATAAATTATCCCTTTAGTATCCGTTCTAGTGACATAAAAAATAAATTTAATATATAAACTAAGGAAAATTCTTATTTTTTCTCTTATTTTTCTAATCTTCTAATTAATTATGTAAATTGACTTTTACAAACGCTTTTTTTGTTTTAAAATTAGTTCTAAAAATAAAAAAAAAGGAATAAAAAATTAAACACACAACAAATTCAGTTCTAATTTTTCAAAAAAGTTCATTTAAACTAACTATTTTATATTTTAATTTACCTTATTAAGTTTAATAAATATATTTTTTTAATTAAGTTTTCAATTGTCAATGAATTCTTTAAAATAAGCAATTGAAATGGAAAATTACCATTTATCCTCTTGAAGAAACTTTATACTGTCTCAGATTAATCTTTTTAATTGGATTTATAAAAAAAAATATATTTATCATAATATTTTTGCTTCTATATTTATAAAGGCTTTCGATAAATTTATGCTTAATATATATAATTATATTTGTTTTAGAAATATAATTCTAAAAAAATAATAGTCTATTTTAAAAATCCAATTATAGTGTAAATGCTTAAATGCTTAATATGGTAAGTAAAATCCCTATATAATACAATTCTCTCTCTCTCTTTTTTTTTTTTTTAAAAAAAAAAAAAAAACTATAAATATCCAATATTGGATATATTAAACATTTTCACAGTTTTAAAATAATAAAAGAATCATAAGTAAGAAATTTTAAAATAGTTTATTAAATTATAAAAATAAGTAAATGAAAATAAATTATTTTTATATGAATTCTTTATAAATCCTAATTTTATTTTTTAGTATATAAAAAAAAATAAAAAAGATATATATTAAAGTAACTTTTGATATATATCAACATAGGAATTTTTAAATAACGAAAAAAAATGAATATGATATAGTTTTGTATTGATTTAAATATATAAATATATATATTCTTATATTTTTATATGATTTTTTAAATAAATTTATAATTATATATAAATATATATATATATATATATATATTTATTTATTTTAAACTAAATATAATTATATAATATTTTAAAATATTAACATACAAATATATAAATATTAATATATACATATATATATCTAGAAGAAAAAAACAATAATATAATATAATATAATGATTCAATTAAAAAACGAAGACGAATTAAATACTTAATAAATCCAAGAAAAAGAAGAAAAAATAATTCGCCAAATATATTCATTATCATTTAAAATATTAGGAATATTTTGTTAAATATTATTTCTATTAATATACACTATAATAAACATATCAATATATAAATGATATAATACCCATTTACACTCTTTATTACTAAATAGCATAAATATAATAATGCTATTAATATATACATATTTATCATTTAATATAATTTTTAATTTTCTTATGTCCTCCTTGATAAACCCTGGATTCTCGAAAAATATCCCAGAATAAAATTATTAAGATGATGAAAAATGTTTTAAATGCTTTAAAATAAAACCTAAGAGGGCTCATCACTGCTCTGTATGTAATAAATGTATATATAAAATGGACCATCATTGTCCTTGGATAAATAACTGTGTAGGCCATTTTAATTAGCGATATTTTTTACTTTTTATATTTTATATTTCTATTACAACATTATTAATTAGTATATAATATATTCATATATATTGTCTAAATCCTATTGATTTTTAATATGGATTTTTTTATATTTACTCAAAATATCTTTGTTTTGCAATTTCGCCAGTCATTTCTCTTTTTTCAGTTTGGAGTTGGTATTTAGCTATTAAAGGGTTTACCCAAATAGAATATTGGGCTTTAAAAATACCCAATTTATATGACAAGAGATAATACTGGTTTGGTTATTATGATTTATATGAAAACATATATGAAATATTCGAAACAAAAAATCTATTTTTTGTATTTTTACCGTCTTTTAGAAAATTAAAAGGGGATGGAATTTATTGGAAAAACTCGAGAAATTCAAATAATAAAGAATGTGTTATTATTTGTTAATGATTAACTGTTTTTTGTATATATAGAATAAATATATATATATATATATATTTTTTTAAAAAAAATATTAAAAGGTTAATTTATTAGCTATATTAGATAAAAGATAATATAAAAAATAAGTATCTTTATTATTATTATATTATAAAATAGAATTTAATATTATTGTTATTTTTATATAATAATTTTTTATTAAAAAATCATATATAATTATTTATTAATTAATATTATTATTATTTTTTATAGAGTAGTTTTTTTATATTTAAAAAAATTAAATAGAAAAATATAATAAAAATCATATTGTAAATAAGAAATAGTTTTTTTTATTTTTTTTCAATTAAAATAATCAAAATAAATAGTTTAATTATGATATAAAATATATTTAAATTTAACTTTATGTAATTATAAAGAGAAGAATTTAATTATTTTTATTTAATAATAACTTATTTGTTTTATAAAATAAATTAACATATTTAAATGATTTTTTTAAAAAATAGTAAGCTATCTATAAAGAAATATAAAATATTTATTTTTTGTCATATAAATATAATTAAATAAATATATTTTATAAAATATTATAAAAAATATTGTAAATATATGATTAGAAATATTATATAATATTAAATAATAATTCTATTTATTATTATTAAAATTACATTGAATTTATTTAATAAAATAAAATATATATATTCAATTTTTATTATCATTAAATTTCTTAAAAAAAATATATAGAATTATTTTCAATAAAATATATTAATATATATGATTATATTATAATTAAAAATAAATTTTAAAATTATATAATTATTATAAAAAATGACTTATTATATATATAAAATACAAGATAATCAAATTATCAAAAAAAAAAAAAATAAATAATCTAATAATAATATATTTATAATTTATATAATAAAAATAAATAAAAAGAAAATTAAAAAAAATTATACTAAATTATATTATATTTAAAAATTTTATAATAAAATAGTTATTAAAAAATTTAATAATTAAATATATTATATAAATTTTTAATATAAATTGTATATAATTTTCAGTTAATAAAAATAAAATTGAAAATATTAAAAGATTATTTTAATATTATATTTTGAAGATAAATAATAATTTAAAATATATAAAGTAATAATATTAAAATATAATTATATTTGATGTTTAGTAATATTTATTAATAAAATATATAAAAAAAAATAAAAATTAAGATTTGTATTAAGAATAAATATTAATAATAAATATATATATATAAATATATATAAAAAATATATATATATATTTATATATATATACATATTCATATTTAATATACATATATTTTTTTTGAATTTTTATGTTATTTAAAAATAATTTTTATTTTTCTATTTCTTATTTTTTAACGTTTTTAAGAAAAAAGATAATATTTTATATATATTTTCTTTAAATTTAATTTATAAAAATACAAAAATATTTAAAATATTCATTTTTAATTAAAATAATAACATTAGATATTTTTTTTTTTTATCAATAACATTTTTATATACTGATTAATTTTTTGTACTTATCTAGTTATTTTTTGTTTTTTATTTTATTATACATTGTATATTTTATATAAATTTATTAAATAAATATATTTTTTTAAAAAAAAATTAATTTAAAAATGTTTTTGTTTTTTTTTTATTTTAAAACATTTATAAAATTTAAAATATAATTATTTAATAAAATAATAATTGTCAATAACAATTATCCATATTAAATCAATTAATTTTATCGAGTTTTATCTTTAAATAATTAAAATTATTTACCTT